TGGCATGGTATGTATTAGTATAGATATATACGGTGAGTCTGATTCTATCACACCAAAATATCTCCACAGATTAACTAATTTGCACTTATCTTATCATCATACAAGAGTTTGAATTTATTAAAACTCATATTTTAAATTAATCTAATGATTATCAACTATTATCCCATGCCTTTAAAATGATCATCCGATCGTGCATCACGTATCACAAAAACTCACACTTCTATTTGGACGTACAAGCATACAAGCAGAGAAATGACAAAAGCTTGGGGAAACATCAAGCAAATAACAAGGACTAACAGGCCAATGCTCAAGTTAAGAGTGGTTCGAGTTTTTCAAAGGACAAATGACTACTCATCCTACAAGAACATCCTTGAAATTGTCGTTCATGACATTGAGGTATAATTTACAATATTAAATTAATCGGGTCTGATTTTTCGCGTCGTTTTAGTCGTCTTCGTGGTTGACGGGGAAGAAAGAAATGAATGAATGTTCTTTTGGGAAAATGTAGAATAATACACCTACCGAGGCAAAAGAACGGGATGCTACTGACTTTCATACATGTGCTGCAGGCCCTTACCTTTTTATAAAACTCTTAGAGCTTTCATATTACACAATAATTTACAATATTATGTTTTTTTCAGGGCGTTCGAATTACTGGAATAATAAGAGCATTAAACATCCCCACTTTCATCAATGAATTTCAAGAAGGGGTTGCCTGTGCACTTCGAAACTATCAGGTCGAAGTATTGGAATGTACAGATCCACCATTGCCCAATACAGGCTTATCTTACATAGTAGAACTGAACACATAAGCTACAAGGGTGACTTTCCAATTTACCGTTTCGACTTTCGAAGGTTCATCACACTAACTGATGTCGAGAAGATCGACGAATCAATGCTATTTGGTAATCGCATTTTCACTTTTTTAAAATTATTTTTTTTATAATTTTCATGATAAATAATAATTTCTCATATTTAACACATGTTTAGATGTCATTGGGATGGTGGTCGAGATAAATCCAATTCAATTGAAGAATGTCAAAGGAGTAGAAACTCGCATGATTGCATTCTCGCTAATGAATCCGGAGTAATATTTTAACTTACACTTACATATTATTATTCATGTATAATATTGTAATTTAAATATTACTTTAACATTTATGATAATATATTTTTTGTTTAAATTAAAAATTAGGGGAAACATTATGCCAAGCACTCTATGAGGGACATATGTTGGCCAATTCCTGAACTTTGAGAGTGAACTTGCCCACGACAATCCATGGACTTTGATAATTCTATTAGGGCGTTCGAGAGCATGAGCGGGTATATAAAATTTAATGTCTTCAATTTATATATTTTATTTATCCAAAAGTGTTTAAGTTACATTATTTCTTCATAAACAGATAAAGTGCAAGTAACCTCATCAAATGATATAACGAGGCTAATTGCTGGCGAAAATGTTCCAGATATTGTGGACTTTCGCAATAGGTAAAGCTGCTTTAAATTATTATAATATTCAATAGTTATATGTATATAATAATAGATCATTAAAAAATTATAATTTTTTTTTTATCTTATATAGGGTTGCGGTCGGCCCACTTAGAAGGGCCCGGTTAGTTTCAAAAAGTTATGTTGTTGTGAAATCTGAACTTCAAGAATTAGCTGATGGTGATGTTGTCAGTTCTGTTGACTCACTCCATGAGACTACTGAGGTATATTTAAATACAATTACTTATGTGCCACTTCTATTTAATGAAAACATGACTAAAATAGTACATTTGTAAATGCAGGAAACCGATATTTGAATATGTGCTATAGTGGTCTCAATTATAGATGAGTGGTGGTACCACTCATACAGAAGATGCACAAGCAAAATGGAGGAGGTTCATGGACAATTTAATTGCAGCAGATGTGCTCATAAATTTGGCATTTTCCGGTAATAGAAATTACTAATATAATGCAAAATATATTAATTAAATAATATATGATGTTGGCTTATTTCTTAAGAAACCAGTGTTCAGTCATGGCCAGTTATATGTTGTTGTCTCCCGTGTCACTAACCGAAAATGTTTGAAAATCTTAATTTGTGGTGAAGATGACGTGTCAAATAATCAAACCAATAATGTTGTATATAGGGAAGTGTTCAATAATATATGATCTTTCCAGTTTAATTATACGTTTATATGTCTATTGTTATGATCAAGATTATTTTGTTATTACACAATTTATATTCAAAATTGCCTCCTAAAAAACTCACAAGTCATAATATTCCCGTGCAGGTGATTACTAGTATATATAAAGATTAACTATTTACTATAAATAGTAATCTAAAAATTTCGGACAACTTTTATAGCATACTATATTAGGATTTTTTTTTTTTAATACAGAAAACCGAATGAGCATTTAAAGTGTATAAAATGACGCGTCATATATCCACTTTTTTTTTGTGTAGTGTTATGTTCCTTTCTTTTTGGCATAAGTCATATCTTTATTCAAAGTATATAAATCCTATCCTAATATATGAAACAAAATTATTTGATTTTATCTTTTTTATATGTCAAACACCATATGAAACAAAATTATTTGATTTTATCTCTTTTATATGTCAAACACCATTTCTTTGAGCATATCTTTTTTAAAATGTTATAGACAAAAAAGTTAAGGATGTATTATCGATTCAATAAAAACTAAATTCATAATGTATTATGCTTAACATGTATAGATTTTCTCGTGTAAAATTAAATAAAAATATGTGCGATAAGTAACAGTAGTGATTTTAATCTTAGTGAAATAATAAATACATTAAAGATATATCTTTATATTTTTTTTATTAAACATATGTCTACATTTGTATTTATAAGTTTATAAAACCATTAATGAATAAGACTAACTTGATTTCATAAAGTATATTTTGAACATAAATTGATTATCATTAATCGATAATGTATTATACCTTTTTTTTCAAACGATACAATCCACTCCAATAAAAAGACCCAAGAAATGGGCAATGTTTACAAGGGAAAAACCCCAATTCGAAAGAACTGGGAGGACAAACCATAGGCTAGCCTAAACAGAACTACACATCAACCAGAACAATACTAATACCTTCCAAAGAACTAGAACCCAAAGCCAAGAGCAAACCAGAAAATATTACAGCAAAGCTATAAGCACTACTCACTAAAGCAATACATCACAGAGCAAAGTACATACAAGATTTACAGCCCACTGACAGTGGACCTAGGCTAAAACCTTGGCATATTTCACTCCTTGTTGTTGCTGTTTTTGAACTCAAGCCAGTCACTATGAGCAGCTTTGATGATCCAGTCCTCAGGTTGCCATTGCCTCTCAAACACCCATAGGTTTCGAGCTCTCCAAAGCCACCAAAAGATATATGTGGATAGCTGGATTATGTCCTCAGAGGTTTCATCTTGCTTCATTGAGCTAAGCCACCACCACCATTGCTTGAAAGTCATCTGCTCTTCCTACACTTTGTTCCATTGAACCTGGGCTATCTGCCATACTCCTTTAGCTTTCCTGCAAAAGAAGAAAGTATGCTCTGTTGATTCTGGCTCCTCCCCACAAACTCCACAGATAACATCCACTCTCATTCCCCTTTTCTGCAGATTGGTGTTCACAGGAAGAATGTTGGAGAAAGCTTGCCAGATCATATGTTTCACTTTCCCCATCACCTTAAGGTTCCAGCATCTCCTTCTAGCTGTCAAATTACCCCCTGCTGACATACTACTTTCAGCCAGTATAGATTTTTTTTTTTGCAACTTACAAGTATAGATTTTTTTTTTTGCATAATATATTATCAAACAAATCAATAATTAACAACGAATATATAATTTTTACTTTTTGTTTATACAATAAATAATATAAAAGATATATAATTTTATTTTTCTATTCTGCAGTCAAGTATATGTTCAAAATATATTTTATCAATACAAATTTATATATATATGATTTCCTATGATACTAAATTATCATACATATATCTATTAAATACGACACCCATATTTCAATATAACATTCAGTTTAGTTGTATATGTTTTAAAAAGATATACGCAGTTAAATTAGTCTGCTAAATTTTCTTAAAACCCCAACATATCTTACCATATATTCTACTAAATATTTTGATGTATTATAATAATCGTATCTACAGTCCTAATATATATGTGTATCAACTGTTTGCCTGATGAAAGATATAGTTCGAGGTAGGTTTTATGTATGTTTTCTTTCTTTAGCTCTATGGAATCCATCACAACATCATACTTATAAAAAAAATCATATTTCTGTGCAACAACATGAAAATAACAGCGAATGCAACAATAGAATACCTATAAATCATCGACGAACTGAAGAATTTATAGGATGAAAAACTTTGAACCACAATCAGAGAAATACTGCCGATTTAAGTATTTTTAAAAGAAATCTGCTACATTTTATTAAGGATACAATATCAAGTGAAAAAAAAAAAGAAAGAATGAACATCTTTGATATCTTAGAAGATTGTTTTATACTAATCTTTTTTTTTTGGTCGAAACGATAGAGGAGATATATATAA